TTCCGAACGTCTTTCCAGCACCATCGCCCACTACACCCGCCTGATCGTAAGATTCAGAGCAGCATCCGGGTACAACTATGGGCGATGCCGACGTCCTCTCGACGCCGTGGCCAATGTTACCGTGTGGGCAAAGATGGTCATATGGCCCGTCTATGTCGGGCCCTACGCCCCTATCGACTCGCAGGTTCGCTGTCGGTCATGTGGGTCACGTGAACATCGTCGAGAGAAATGTCCTAAGAAGGGTTCATCAGCGCCTTGCAAGCGTTGTGGCGCTACTGGTCATACAGCATCCATATGCTTAAGTCCGAACTGCAACCCTACACCGGCAACACCTATGGCCATGGCAACAACGGAAGACGAAGATCCCCACCTGGAAGTTGTCAACGAGGTCATGGAGATCGAACCTATGGCCTACTCGATGTCCACCGGCGTAGGCTCCATCGACGGCTCCTCCCAAGGCCTACTTCTGAGCGATATCATCGACAACAAACCCTGGCGAGTCCGACTTACTATCGGGCAACGACCCGAGGGAGCGTCCCCTAACGAGCCCTCGCCGTGCTGCCATATCGACGGTTTGCTCGACAGCGGCGCTGGTGCTAACTTCGTGTCGACCGCTGTCGTCAAGTTCGCGCTACGACGCAACCTTATCGACGCTCATCTCCTTCGAACGCTCAATCCCATCAAGATCACCTATGGCAATGGACAGACGGCAATCTGTACCCGAGCCATCAAGTTACCCATACGTTTTTCCCTTCATAGCTCCCTGAACGATGAAGCTCCCTCAATGGTCTGGCTACATTGTCTGATGGTGAAGGATACGAAGCCATCAATTATCGTCGGTCGTCCTGGTATGGCCACTTTGGGTGTACGAGCAACCATTCCGTCATGGGCTTACAAGGACCCCACCAGCTGCAGCTCACACGATACGGTACTGTGCCACTCTGCTCTTTCCACACGTTCGACAACCTTTGAGAAGGGGACCATTACCGACACGTCTCGCATCGACTATGACTCACCCACCGACATCTCCTTCTACACCACCCGTGAAGACAATGGCGCTAGGAGGCTCTGCGTTCGTGCTCCATGCTTCGAAACAGCTAAGGTCATTCCCTTCAGTGAGAAAATGCGGCCCCGATCAGTCTTGGAGTCTGCTATTCTACACTCCAGAGTTCTACAAATGTATCGAGAAGGGAAAGTGGAACTTATTTCGGCTGCCGACGCCATCATCATTTTGGAGACAGTTCTGGTGGATAAGCTGGCCACAGGTAATGGCCCCAAACCGCCACGACCTTACCACCTACCAGATGCAGATCTCAAGAAGAGATATAGGGTGACTGTGGATGCTCGCCCGGTTAACAATCTACAACTCACCGTCGCCGGTAACAAATTCCAATGGGTACCACGCTCAGTATCATCTGGTATGCCGAAAGCTGACCTAGAAAGTCCGAACCAACATCAACAAGGACCTATCGATATTCTCAACAATTGGCCGAGTTTTGCCACTACCTTCTACGGTCGCCTGGACCTGAGCGATGCCTTCTACAGCATCTCCATTCCCGAGCGCGTTCGGTCTCTATTCTGTTTCCGTACTACATGCACTGTCATGGACGACACTGGCAATCTTAATTCTCTTGGCGACTCCTTTCTCTGGCGACTGTGTAGACTTCCTCAGGGTTGGACCTACCCTCCTCTCATTTTTACCCGTGCCTTATCTCATCTCCTATACTTATTCAGGGCACAGTGTAAATTACGAGTCCACATCGACCACTACCAAGACGACCTTTTACTTGGTGCCGCCGATGAGAAGACTCTCAACCAATGCATTGAGACCTCTCCGACTCCTCGAAGCTATGGTTCGTCGTGACCGCAGAAATCACCTATGCTACTAGTCATTACGTTTTGTGGATATGTGCTCGACG